AACATTTATTCATTAGGAGTGGAGGATATACGAGTCTTTATTATATTATCTTTTCTATTTTCCTATACTAAAATTTTTCTTCAATAAATAAGATAATAAATAAGACTGCTAACTTTACTAAGTCTTTAACAAGTATAGTACATAAATACAAAACTAAACAAACAGCGAAATTTTTAAAATTTCAGTAATATTCCATTCCCCACTCCCAACTATAGATATGTTCCCTCATTTTATGCTGTATAATCTGAGACCACTTGTTTTATCTTGGCCTTAAAAAGCAGGTTTAAACTAGCGCAAATAAGGAAAAGTCAACAGTTATGTTAACAGTAACTTTTATCATTCAAAATGTAACATATAGATTGAATTACTATTTATAAAAGACTTGGCAGTTCAAGTTCCTTTTCTCATAGTAATCAGGAAGAATGGATCCGTAAGCCCTGCTAGTTGAGCAATCTTCTAAATTTTTACTTTTTAATAGAGTCACTATTGATGATACATTCTAGAAATATAAAGAACAAATCAGAAGAGGAAGCAAAGCTATATGGAACTTAGGATAAAGAATAACTTCTTCCTTTTAAAAATTAGTTGAAACTTTAACTTTTTATCAAAATCACAAAAAAAAACCCAGAAGATTTCTGATATAAATAAACTAAATAAGAGAATATTTTCTTAATACTACTAAAATAAAACTTGCCTTAAAGTGCTGTTAATTGCTCCCAATTTATTAGCTTGCTCACAGTCTTCTAATTCTTTGGTATTGTTTGCCACTTTCAAGTACTGAAAGGAAGTTCATAATAAGTAAGTTTAGTAATTATTATCTTTCTCTATTCCAGGTTCCACAGGCAAAATAGTCAGTCTGTCAATGATAATACACACTAAATATAGATACATCCTATTATCAAAATCGCTAACATATGTAAGAAATACAAATGAAAATGAGTCACAAATTTCCATCAACTAAATAAGTAAAGACATTCAAAATATAACAATTAGCATTGGAATGTTGGTGATGACGTAAACTGAGAAAATCCTCTTGGGAAATAATTTGACAATATTTATCTAGATCTGTAAAAACACATCAACTCTTGAACCAGCAGTCCCACAACTGAAACCACATCCAGAGCAACATTTAAAAACAAAAACAAAAAAGAGGTACCAAGCACTTTAGAAAGTTATTTGGTACTATCTCATAATGTTGAGATGGGCATACCCTATATGGCTCAGCAATCTTACTTCTAAATACAGACCTGGAGAAACTCTTACATGGGTGCACAATGAGACAAAGGACAAAGATGCTACTGCATCATTGTTTGTAACACCAAAAACTGAAAACAATTGAAACGTTCATCAACAGAGGAATGGCTACCCATGACATAGTCATACAATTGAATACTATGCAGCGGTGAAAACAAAATCTACATATATCAACAGAGACAAAATTTCAAAAGCATAATACTGAGTAAAAATTAAAACTGAAAAAATGTTTTTAACCTGAAGAAATACAAAAATATACTATTACTTTAAATGTTTTAAAATTTCATATTAAAATATTTGTATATTACTTGTGGAATAAAAGTATAAAATAGAAAGTATCACAGAAGGATACCCATCAACTTCAGAAAAGTGGCTAGCTCTGGGAAGGGAGGAAATAGAATGGGATTGAGAAGGAGTCCAGAAGGATTTTAACTGTCTTTACACTGTTTATTTATTTATTTTAGATCTGAAAGAAAAATAAATGAAAGAGAGTGAGTACAAACAAAAGACCACACAGGGCAGAGAACACAAAAAGAAAATGAAGAGAGGATCCGTAAGGAAGCAGAGAGAGAGGGTGTCATGATCTTTATTACGTATGTACAACAGTAAAGAACAAGAAGTAAACTGTTACTTAAGAACATATGAATGGCAAAGTAAATGATGGCATGCTCATAAAAGGAAAAGGGTAATCTTTAATAAAGGAATATTTTAATGCCATTTACAAGTACTATGCTCAAAATACCTTGGTAAGTGTTTACTCTATACAATAGAATCCTGAATATGACAAGTTGAGTAGTTAAAATAGAAGACTAAAAATACATGCATGATAAAACAACTGTTGTGTGGGCCACCTGACACCGTAGTTACACTTTATAGTTCTTCTAGAGGTTCTGAAAACAGAACTGAAGTATTTCAAAAGAGGCTATATAATCTAATTGCAAGAATATACACCCTCTGTTTCTACAACAATTAGGGATTTGGGATTCTGAGGCAAAATGTGTCCATTTCCAACTAACCACATTATGGTTCTCTTCGGCAACCACTGTCAACAGTAAATGATAAGATTCACTATGTAAAGCAGAAATATTCAAAGAAGAGTGACTCACCTTATTAGAACTCCCAGCTTTAATTCCAACTGGAATTTTACTCTTAAAAGAACAATAACAAAAATTTTAAAAATGATGATTTTTTTTTTGGGATTTCTTCACAAATTAGTAATGCTATTGCTCTAATACAAAGACTATTTTATTCTATGAGGAGAAAATATACATTCATTCAAATTCTGTTTCCATACTATCTTCTGAGGTAAAAGGTAATGAGTTTTACCAATTTACAGACTTGTAAATCATAGTATAGATAACCGAATGTCATATACAAAATCAGAGCATCAAAATCAGCTCTAAATTAAACTCTCAATGCAGTATTTAAGTTTATATAATTTTTAGGTTAAAAAAAAACTCACTAAATCACTTTTTTCATGACCTTTCTTACCACAGAAACAGAAGTTTTTAAAAATTTCAAAATTACTTGAAATATGTTATGCTCAATTTTAATTTCTACTCTAAGTTAACATTTAAAGTTTGGGCAATTTTGGATCAATACTAGAAGGCAGGGGTAAGTTCTTTGACCCATATGCTTAACCTAGAGTTAAATCTAGGGTTTACCAATGGAAGAACTACATGTAGTTCCAACTTTCTTTTCTACAAAGCCAATTATTAGCTTTAGGCTTTAATAAACAAATCTATGAATTATTACAACTGGTTATCAAGCACAATTTTACACAAAAATCAAATCTGAAAGCAGACAATCACAGGCTGATCTTCTGATCAACCCAGGGGACTAATTTCCTATGCCTATCAAATTAATAGCAAATTACCTATTAAAAAATTTTCAGGTTTCATAGATAAATTTTAACCAAATATTCAGAATAAATATTTTCCTTCAGGCTGAAGAATGTAAATAATAATAATGATGATAAGAGATTTTTTCCTTATCAATAAAAAGATCATAGAGATAGAAATGTCAGTTGCTGTCCGTATTTTATCATTTCAATGTCTTGAGTACCTCTAACAGAGGGCAGGAGAAAACTATAAAACGCGAGTCAAATCTAGCAATCAGTTATAAGATCCTGAACTTAAAATATGGAATAAATGCTAACTAAAAGCACCCTCTGACTACTCTATGTCCTCTAACTGGTATAGCGTAATATGCTAAAGTCAAAATCGTCAGCAGGTTTATAAAAGGTTTGATGTTAAATGCAGTAACTTCACTTAAGCAAATCTTAATACAGGTCATTTAGAAATATTGGGGTAAGCACCACAGATGATCATCATGAATAACATACAAATCACAAAAAAGAATTATTAAAAGTAATGATAAATGTAAAGCTAGTAACTAAAATCAAGCATGAAATAAACCTGGTTGTTGCCACTAACACAATCTGAAGCAGTCTGCTGGAAAATTACAAAATTAAGAGACCCTCACGATTAAATTAGACTTCAAATTATAGAATGCAGATTGTAACTCTGTATCATGACAAGTTTGGGTTCAAAGTGACATGCTTACTGAATTTTCCCCCAAAGAGAGAGAAATACGAATATCTTCCCATTACTTAAAAGAACCAACATGAAGGGATAATTTTTATCTCTGGAGAGAAAGGGAAGGGAATGGGACTGGGAAAAGAATAAACAGGAATTTTTGAATGCATATAAATATTCTGTTTATGTTGGGGATTCATATACAAATAAACACTTTCATTTATTCTTATTAGAAATTTAAGACTGAAGAAGATAATCCACTGTAGACAATAAATAACTCATTATTTCAATATGAAAACAATTTAGAAATACACACTGTGCAAAGCCAAATAACTCCTACAACTCAGCAATAAAAAGGGAACTCAATTTAAAAATGGGCAAAGGATTTGAATGGACCCTTTTCCAAAGAAGATATACAAATGGCCAATAAGAACCTGAAAAGATGCTTAACATTATTGGCCATGAGGGAAATGCAAATCAAAACGAGATACCATTCACAACGATGCTTAAAATGAAAAAGACAGACAATAACAAGTGTTGACAAGTATGTAGAGAAATTAGAAAATACATTGCTGGTGGGAATGTAAAATGGTGCAGCCACATTGAAAACAGTTTGGCAGTTCCTCAAATAGTTAAACAAAGTTACTATATGATCCAGCAATTCTACTCCAAGGTATATACTCAAAAGAATTGAAAACATGCCCACACAAAAACTTGGACCTGAATGTTCACACTTATTTATAGTAGCCAAAAAGTGGAAACAACCCAAATGTCCATCAACTGATAAATAAACAAGATGAGGTATGTCCATACAATGGAATTATTGGGCAATAGGAACGAAGTACTGATATATGCTACAACATGGATGAATCTTGAAAACATTATGCTAAGCAAAAGAAGCCAGTCACAAAATACAATATCTTGTATGCTTTTATTTACATGAAGTGTCCCTAATAGGCAAATCCATAGAGACAGAGAGTGGATTAGTGGTTTCTGGCGGGAGGAGGGAGGAGGAAACCTGGAGTGACTGTGCATGGGCAGGGGTTTCTTTTTCGGGTGATGAAAATGTTTTACAATTAGATAGTGGTGGTGGTTGCACAATTCTGTGATTATACTAAAAACCACTGAATTGTACACTTTAGAAAGAGTGAATTTTATGGTATGTGAAATATGTCTCAATAAAGCTGTTATAAAAAACAATGATAGTAATAAAATATTAAAATAATAATTCAAGCTCATACTTACATGAACATACAATTAGATAAATAAAGAAAAAAATCTCTTGCATACAATAGAATGCCAACTAATAAATGCAGAAGAAATGGAATCAGAAAATCACTATTTGGCAAATATCACATAAATAATTAATTCAGGCAAAAGTCATCAATGGATGCTAAAACTATTAAGTAAAATGGGATATTTTCATAGTCTCAAAGATTTTTCCTACTTTACAGTGAAATCTGTAATCTTCTTTTTGAAAAAGAAATCTGACGGGGCCGGCCCAGTGGCGCAAGCGGTTAAGTGCGCGTGCTCTGCTGTGGCAGCCCAGGGTTCGCCAGTTCGGATCCTGGGCGCACACCGATTGGCAAGCCATGCTGTGGCGGCATCCCATATAAAGTGGAGGAAGAAGGGCACGGATGTTAGCCCAGGGCCAGTCTTCCTCAGCAAAAAAAGAGGATCGGCAGATGTTAGCACAAGGCTGATCTTCCTCACAAAAAAAAAAGAAATCTGACAAACACCACTTTAACCAAGTGATCAAGATGACATCACGTGCCACCCACTATGACACGCTGAAAAGAATACAACATCGCTTCTACAGTACACCTGCCAAAACTGCATGACCTAATCTTAGGTCATTAGGAAACATCAGAAAAACCCAAAATGAGGATATTCTACAAAATAACTGGTGGGAAGGAAGGGAGGGAGAAAAAAGAAAAAAAGTCAAGATAACAAAAGACAAGGAAATATTGAGGGACTATTCCAGATTAAAAGTCTAAAGAGACATGACACCCAAATGCAATGTACGATTCTGGTTCAGAAACTTTTTTTTTTTTTGGCTATAAAAAGCACATTATTAAGTTAGCTGGCAATATGTGATTAAGGTCTATAGATTAGACATTAGTATTATAATTAATGTTAATTTCCTGATTTTGTTAATTACACTGTGGTTAGCTAAGAGAATGATCTTGTTTTTAAGGAAATACACACTGAAGTATCAGGGATAAAGGATCATCATGTTGGTAACTTATACCTATATGGTTTAGAAAACAATAATATTAATAAATATATGCATATAGAGAGAATAATAAAGCAAACATGCTAAACATTAACATTTAAGGAATCTTGATAAAAAGTATATGGGAATTGTTTGTACTATTCTTGCAACTTTTCTGTATATCTGAAATTATTTCAAACTAAAAAGTTAAAAAACATATTTTATTCCTAAAGGAAAATGAAGATAATTTTTTTTTAACTTTTCCTTTAGGAAGGACACGGCTTCAGATGATTTTTTCCTATTTTCAAGAACAACAAACTAACTGGTTAGGTAAGAAAAGCAAAAGTAAAATGAAAATATAACGTAACTAATCACTGTTGAAGAAGAATATAATTAATTATGCTGGACATCAAAAAACAAAGTCTAAAATGTAGCCTTCCCTTACCAACAAGTATAGCCTTTTTTTAAAATTCTAACAAGACCAAGTAAAGACCTAATTCTAAACCTGAAATTTCCCCACTTTATGCACTAATTTCTAGTCTAAATTTGAAATTTAAGGTCCAGTAGCATTTTTTTTGCCTATGAAACAAGATGCAGATTCAATAAAGCATGCAATAAGAGTTAGTCAACTATAGATCCAATCCTAGAACAGGCCTCTGATTTTCCATCCATTTTAGTATCAAACTATACTTCCACATCCAATCACCAATACCACTGGATATGAGAGTTCTTCAAACCCATTTTGGTGACAAGTATAGAATAAATCTTCAATAATCTAGTTAAAAAGGAGAGAGCTGAGAGCATACAAATTTGATGACAAATCCAAATCCATCGATATTAGCCTGAAATACAGAGTTCACGCTTATCTACAAGTCCAAGAGAAAACAATTTTTTCCCTATTATTTTTTTTTAATTTATTTTACCTCTGGACAGGGCTCCACATGACAGTCTTTTATTGAACAATGGCCATCTTCTGCCCAGAAAGGACATGGTCGCTTCAGATTAACCTTGAGAGAAAGAATGAATGAACATTAGTAAATGTGTATCGCAATTCTGCAATGCTCTCTAAGTGTCACTGTGCTGGGCACCAGTGACATGGTGGTGAATAAGAAGGAAAAGCTTCCTATTCTGTGGCACCTATATTGTTCAGAATTTAAAATGACTGCAGTTTTTCAGACACCCTGATGTAATATTAATTTTTAAAAATAAATGACTGCTATTAGTTCTCTGACACTTCAAAAAAAGAATGAAGTCCAAGTACAGTGCTCATCAAAAGAGCCTGGAAAAGCATGTTAGGACTATGTTAGTGTCTTTCAGCCCCTTACTGCCACTTCACTGACCAGGGTTCTGTCACGCACCCATTCACTTCACAAATGTGTACTGAGCACCCACTATGTATCAGGCACCATGTAGGATCTAGGGGAAAAAGGCAGAAAAAGCACTTTCCCCCCTGGAACATAGAGTCTACTGGAGAGAACAGACATTAGATATTTATATGTTTATTTAATTACAAATTGTGGTAAGCGCTACAAAGGAAAATCCAGAGTTCTGTGACACAAAATAATGGGGCTGGAGGAAGGAGGCCTCTGAGGAGGTAATATTTTTAGGATGGGTGAAAGTTGGAGGAAGCATGCGTTTGGATAAGGTGATAGAGCTTGGACAGTTCTGGGAAATGGAAAACACCAATTTAGCTAACTTTCTGTGGGGAGGGGGAGGGGGAGGTGGCTGGGAATGAGGGTAGAGATAGGCAAGGGACGGATCACATAGGACATTGTAGCCATTGTAAAAACTGTGGATTTTCATATTCTAAACACAATGGGAAGACAGGAATTCAATAGGACTTCCACATAGATTGCCCAAGCCAAAAATCAAAGTGTTATTCTTGTTTCTTCCCTTCTCTATCCCTTTCAAATAATTCATTATCCACTTCTCATCACCTCCACAGTCATCACTTATTTCTTGCCTAGACTATCCAAGTCTCCCTGCTTCTACCACCATCTACTCTCCACAGTAGCCATAATTATCTCTTTGAAACACAATTCGGATCACATCAATCCCTGCTCTAAACCTTCCTGTGACTTCCCATCACCTTTAGGGTAAATCCAAACTCTGCAGCAAGCTCTGCAAGGCCCTTCATCACCTGACCTCTTGCCCACCTCTCTGACCTCATCTCCTACGACACTCCTCCAGCCACACTGGCCTTCTTGCTGGGACACACCAAGCCCCCTTCTGTCTCAGGGCCTTTACAGTGGCTGTTCTCTTTGCCTGTACTGTTGCTCCTCCAGATCTTTTTTTTTTAAAGATTTTATTTTATTTTTTCCCCCCAAAGCCCCCAGTAGACAGTTGTATGTCATAGCTGCACATCCTTCTAGTTGCCGTATGGGGGACTCGGCCTCAGGATGGACGGAGAAGTGGTGCCTCGATGCGCACCCGGGATCCGAACCCGGGCCACCAGCATCGCAGCGCGCGCACTTAACCACCAAGCCACAGGGCCGGCCCCTTCTCCAGATCTTTTTATGGCTCACTCCCTTCACCTCCTTCAGGACTCTCTCAAATGTCACCTCAGCAGAGAGAGCTTCCCTGACCAGAATCTCTAAAGTAGTGCTCAATATGCAGCCTCCACACACTGTTATATATTCTTTCATAGCACTTATCATAAGCCAATTATTATTTACTCTCTACATCTCCTGCTGTAAGGACCAGGATTTTTCCTTGTTCTTGGTTTTATCCTCAGTGCCTAGAACACATAATAGACACCTCAATAATTACGTGTTAGAAGTAAATACCTACATTACAGAGGAAGAGGCAAAAATAGGTAGAGACTGGCAACACGAGGAGAGAGTAGTCAACTCTGTGGAGTGGTCAGGGAAGGCCCCTTTCGGTAACATGGGTACGACTAGAAGTTTCCTAGAGAAAGAGATTTCTAGGCATTGGGATCAGGATGTTTAAAGACAAGCATAAAACAGTATGGCACATTTGGGAACTGCAGGTTCCCCTGAACTCCTGGCTTGTCTATCTAACTGTCTCCCCGACATCTCCACTGTGCTCTTCCCTCCAGTAATTCTTGCCATCTCCGTAAACAGCAACTCCATTATTCTAGTTCTGCAGGCAAAACCTGGATATCATCCTTGACTCTTCTCTTTCTCACTCCACATACAATACCTATGAAAATCAGGTCAGTTCAAAATCCAAGTCCTTATAATGGCCAAGAATGCCTTACATGTTCTGGTTCCCCTGCTCTCTGCCTCTTGTTCACTGGCCTCCTAGTTCCTCAAACACATGAGGCACGCTGTGGTCTCAGGGCCTTTGCTCTTGCTGTTCCCTCTGCCTAGAATGCTCTTTCTCCAAATATCCACGTAGCTTGCTTTCTCACTCCCTTTAGGTCTTCCTCAAATGCCACCTTCTCAGTTTGTTGTTTTAAGTCGCTCCATTTTAGGCTAATTTGTTATGCAGAAATATATAACAAATATACAGTGCAAGGAGTGGACTGTGGTAGACACTGAAACACACTGCTCAGATCACCCTTCAGGAATAAAGGTCTTATTACTCCAGCTGCTGGAAATGCTGCAGGCAGCCAACCTCAGCTGCAGAGAGCCACTTTGCCCAAGGTCACACCACCCCTTCCTATGATGGCCTTCATTCAATGACTGGTATAGGGATAAAAAGGCCTAGACCTCTCTCTCAAGTGGGGACAGCTCTGGAGGGTCATCCCATCTTAAGAAGTCCCCAAAGGGTCACCTGAGGTTTCCCCTGAGGCTGCATCATAGCTTTACATCTCTCTTTGCCCAGTCCTGATTTTCTCCCTTCCTTTTCCTTCCCTAAGTTGTTGGTTCCAAGAACAGTCCCCAGTAAACCTCTTACACACTAATCACTGTCTCTGAGTCTGCTTCCCAGGGAACTTAAGTTGTGACAACTTGTCCAGCTCCAGAAAAAAAACTACTGGTATTTTTACTAGGATCATATTAAATTTATGTATTAACATGGGAGGATTAACATCTTTATGCTACAAAATACATCTGTCCATTTGTTTTAGCCTACTTGCATGTCCTTCGGGAGTGTTTTAAAGCTTTCTTCTTTTAGGTTTTGCACATTTCTTGATACATTTATTCCTACATATTTTATCTTTTTCCATTGCTAATGTAAATGAGGATTTCTTTTACATTACGTCTTCTAACTTGTTCTTATTTGTAATCATGAAGATACTGATTTTTGTTTAAGTTTATAGCCTATCAATGCATTTTTTATTGTTCATTTTCTTATTTCTTTTGAGTTTTCTAGGTATACTTCTGTCATTTATAAATATAATTTTACATATTCTTTTAAAATTTTTATATCTTTAGTTGTTTTTTCTTATTTGAAAATATACTGACTAATACCTCCAACACTGAAGGAGATAGTAGGTACCTTTGTCTTAGTTCCTGACCTAAATGAGAATTCCTCTAGTGTTTCCCCATAAGAAAGTTGCTGGCAATGCTAATGCTAGGATTGAAATTATGTTAAGGAAGTATCCATCATTCTTAATTTATTGAATTTTTTAAAAATCAGGAAAGTGTGTTGAATTTTGTTGAAGACCTAAAAGCTTCATCTTTGCATTCTTGGAATAAAATCCACGTGGTCGTGATATATTTTTTTGTAACATGCTGAATACTTAGGCATCATCGTTGATTTCACTTCTACCCTCACACCTTACATTCACTCCACCAGAAACGCTTGTTGGTGTTACCTTTTATACATGAAATTTAATTCGATCATTTTTCTCCTCTTCCAACTCTACTACCCTCTTCCAAACCCACATCATCTTTCATCTGGACTACTGCAATAGCCTCCTAAATGGTTTCTCTATTTCCTGTCTCACCTTTACAGTCTATTTTGTACACATCCCTCCAATAGCTTCTTATCATACTTAGAATAAAATCCAACATCTTTGTGGTTAACAAGCTCTCTAATTTTTTTTGTCTAGCCCCTAGCTGCCTCTCCAACTCTCCTTCTCATTCACTTGCTCCAGCTATACCAATATTATTATTATTCCTCACAGTATAAACACTCTAAACCTTTACACCTGCAGTCAAGAGCTTTATACCTGCAGTTCTATTCCCGTTCCCTGGAACGTTCTTTCCCCAGAACTTGTCACGGCTTACTCTTTCACAAAGATAGGTCTTTGCTCCAATGGCACAGCATAAGTACCCTCCTTTCCTGACCAACTTCTTTAAAATAGGATTACCTACCTTCCTCACCCAAATTACTATCTCCTACTTTGCTTTATTTTTCTCCATATCATTTATTTTATAACCGTATGAAATTATATTTTATCGTTTACTTGTTTACTGTTTGTCTCCCTAATCAGAATAAAAGCTTTATGAGGTCAGAGTCTTTGTCTTATTCACTGCTGTATCCACAGCACTTAGAATACAGCCTGCTACAAAGTAATCATTCAATAAATATTTGGTGAATAAAGACACAGAATGGACGGTACAAGAGAGAAATTATAAATACCAGCTATAGCAGTCAACTGACCAGTTGAGGCGATAGACTGTTGCTTCTACCTATATTTCCTTGCTTGCTGAATCATAACTATGTATGTGTATGTTTAAAATTAACCTCTTCTCTTAGCTTTCCTTTTCAGCCACTATTGTATGTAGAGTATACTGGTGGTGGCTAAAGTTCCTTTTTGTTTAATTCATAGGTTGACAGAACTAGAAGGGGTGTATATATCACCCAAATATCCTAGAGTTAGAGATAAACGCATTAACTAGATCATTGCATTACCCTCCCTCGGGAGAGGATATGAGTATGTTCTGGTTACATATGGGGTAATTTCATTATGTTGGTTAGAACATTTTTTAAATTGCACGTATAAGAAGGATGAATTGTATGTTGGCTAGCTAAGGACCACATTGTTATTTTTGCCTATCCAACTTTCAACTTTCCTTCTTCTGTAACATCCCCTGATCTCCTTTTGAGAAACAATGACTCCCCTTATATTTATGCAAATAGGACTGTTAACCAAAGTGTCTTTCCCTCTTTCAGTCAATGGGTCACATGACTCTACCTAGACCAATTGACCCTTTCTCCCAGAAATCTGACTCTTGTATAAAGTGTTGCGAAAAATATGGGAAAATGGTGAATTGGATGCAAAATTTTGGTGGTACCATAAAGAGAATGGCCATTAGTTCCTGGTCTAATTTCTATCTTTTCTGACGTATGCTTCTTCAGCTTATCTTTCAATTTTGTGAGCTGCTCCACATCTTTTCTTAATAAAACTTCTGTTCTGTTAGCCAACAAAAGTACCCTACCTAGGATACCTAAACCATTGCTTCTTCATTTGTAAAATGTGGATGATACTGACTTGACAGGATTTCAGGGTAAAGATTAAACAAGATATTCATTCATTTATTCAAATATTTGAGTGCCTACTATTGACCAGGCCTGTGGGGATACAGAAATAGAAGATACAATCCCAAATGGAGGAGTAAAGAGTGAGGGCCATGATATATTGAATGGAGATGTGATCTGGACGTTCTGTGAAGGGATGATCTTTGATAGAAGGAACACTTCCTCCACTGTATATGAAATTGGCAATATTCAACCATTTTGACCTATAAAAGCAACAACTTCATATGGTTACACCTAATAGTAGAAAGGAAGCAGGAGAAAGCAGCTACAAATGCAGATAGATTTGTAGATTTAGGGGTGGGAATTAGAAGAAGCTATTCTCTAACCTGTCTTATCTGTATGTAAAATGCCTAGAATAATAGATACTCAATAGTTTATTTAGGCAAAGATTACTCTTCAAAACAAGTTTATGGAATCTGCATTCCTAAAGGATTTTGTATAGAGGAGAAACATTCACCTTTTTGGGATATTCTTGGTGCTGATGGGAAAAGGGGATGGGCTCTCAAATCTTTAATTTTATACTTTATCTTTCTGCACAACCTAAAACTACCAAAATACTGGATTTTTTTATCCTCAAAAATATTTAAAGGACTAAGATAACCTATACAGAATCATGATTAAAAAAAAATCATGCTCAATTTTTAAAATGAAAATCAAGGAAATTATAAACCCAACTGAATACTGAGAGCAAAAGCAGAGACAAAGCACAACAGCAGCTTTTAAAATACAGTTTTTAAATTTAAAATATTGTTCTTTTCAATATTGACTTATTGCTGTGGCCTTTAAACTATCATTGGTTAGTTTGTAGAGGTCTAGAGTAGACTACTGTTAGATTTCAGAACCAGTTCTGCAGTATTACCACGGATGGTGTTCTACTTGTATCCTCAGGCTGGTTTGCAAGCCCTCTCAGTGAGTAACCCAATGAATGTCTCCTGCTGTGATGCTCTGCACTGCTAACAATGCTAGCACATGACACTGCCATCAGCACAACTCAAAACCTGGCTACGTGTGTCTAGACTGCAGAATCTAAGTTACAAGGGAGGCTGACAAAATAAGTCCCTGGCATTTTCAGCTTCTGTAGAGGGCGGAGTCTCTGCCTCAAAATCAAAACTAAAAGATGAAGAATTCCCCAAACACAGGAAGAGGGTTCAGATTCTTGGTGTTGAAAACCACTAACAGGTTTTCACTACAATACTTAACACATTCCAATGATAAAAGATATACATAGGGTTCTGAGAAGAGTCAAAACGGGTTTTCAAAAGGGTGATAAAAGTCACATCTGTAGACAGCTATATAAAAATTTTGGTACCAACAGAATCAAAAAATCATAACCATACCTTGTAATAACGGAAATAGTCTCGTTCTTGCAATTTTTTTATTTTGGGGAAGATTTTGAAGGTGTTGAAGTTATCAATGCTCTCAATATCACACAAGCAATCATCTAGGACTCCGATGACCTAGAAAAAAAAAAAATATATATATATATAATTTAAAATATGTAAATTACTGATGTTTCAACCTTAACAAATCTGTTTTATATAAAAAGATAATTTATACATTCAAATTAGCTAGTATTTGCTAATTAAGATACAGAACATTAAAGTAGTCACTTACTTTTTTACCATGATCAATTAAATAAAAATCAATAGAAGGATTAGATATACCCATTCTGAAGAACTAAACATTCTTGTTTAGTGGTCAAAAAGAAAGATATTGAATGCTCCTCCCTTTGCCTAAACATATATAAAATCCAAGTAGTCATTGGAATGGTAAAGAAATTTTTTCTAAGACTAACCTGGAAGTCACAGACTGTAATAATATTGCTGTTGTAACCCTATCTTTCTTTTAGACTGCCATTTATGGAACACTTACGTGACAGGCATGGTGCTAAGAGCATTACATATGTTATCTCATTAATTCTTTAAATATCCTATAAAATAGGTATTATTATCCGCATTTTACATATAAGGAAACTAAGGCTTAGCAAGGTTAAAATAATTTTTCCAAAGTAGGAATGCGACTTAGTCCCACATCTATCACACTTTAAAATACATGCTCTTATCTACTACTCAAAGTATACATTAATCTAAGAAGAGAAACTGATATTTACAAAGTGAGTGCTGACTCCAAAAATTCCATAAAACATTCTTCAGCTAAATTTTAAAATGGGATTCACTGACATGCACATCTCAGATGAATCTTCAGGAAGTAATGCTGAGTGAAAAAAATCAATCCCAAAAGGTTATATATTGTGTGATTTCATTTATATAACATTTCTGAAATGACAAAATTTTAGAAATGGAGAACAAACAGATTATCGGTTGCCCGGGCTTAGGGAGTGGAGTAGGGGATGGGAGCTGGAGTAAGGGAGTAGAGTGGGAAAAGAGGTAGGTGTGGTTATAAAAGAGCAATAGGAAAGATCCTTGTGGTGATGAAATTATTCAGTATCTTGACTGTGGTGGTAGATACACGAACCTACACCTGTGATAAAAGAACAAATACACACATACACAAATGAGACAAGTAAAACAGGAAATCTAAATAAGATCAGTAGATTGTACCAATGTCAATGTCTTGGTTATAATATTACACTGTATGTTTACAAAACGTCACCATTGGAGAAAACTGGATAAAAGGTACATGGCGTTTCTCTGTATTATTTCTTACAACTGCATGGAACCTACAATTATCTCAATGAAAATTAAAATTTAAAAACAAAAATGGGACTCAGCCTATTAAAGGTTATTCATGTGATCCATAGAAGGAATATGTGCAGAGTGATCAGAAAACGGAAATCGGTCTTTTCCCAGTGGTTTCTTTCTCATGCTGTCTTCCGAGGAGTGTAAATGTGTCACCAAACTCCCCTACAACATACAGACTTAGAGCTATATTACCTTGAGATAAAGAACAAGGGATCATTATCAAGAATTTTGGCTCTGGAATTCCATATGCTTTGCTATCCTGCTTACTAAGATCCTGTCACTAGCTCTACTGAATTTCATTCTACTGCTCTAGCTTACTACTTATGAAACTTCAAATTCTAGCCCCCTAAATAATAGGGAAAAAAAAATACAAACCAAAAAACTGTCTAGGTTTTACAAATATTTTATCCAGTGATTACTCTTTCTTATGAATTTTTCTTAAATTGTTGACTTATAGTTAGTAAAGCACCCTATTTTATTTTTTAAAAATATTTTAATTGTGATAGGGGCTGGGGTAAGATATACAAAACTACCATGTACATACTTCTAAGTCTTAAAGACTACTACTACGACAAAAACCAGTGTATCACCAAACTTTTAAAAAACAGACATGGAATACTGCCGGTATCTTTTAAGTCCCTCATTAATTACATCCATCTTCCTCCCTTTGGAGATAAAAAATTTTATTTTATTTATTTAATTAATTTATATATATATATCTATAGATAGATAGATAGATTTGTGAGGAAGATCAGCCCTGTGCTAACATCTGCCAATCCTCCTCTTTTTTTGTGAGGAAGACTGGCCCTGGGCTAACATCCGTGCCCATCTTCCTCTACTTTATGTGGGGCGCCGGCACAGCATGGCTTGCCACGAAGCGGTGCGTTGGTGCCCGCCTGGGATCTGAACTGGCGAACCCCGGGCCGCCGCAGCAGAGCACGCACTTAACCACTTGCACCACCAGGGCGGCCCCCCAAAATTTTATTTTTGTTAATTTCTTTACTTTTCTTTGTAATTTCATCACATATGATGTATCCCTAAACAATATACTGAGAGGGTTGGTTTTTTTGTTTTTGAACTTTAATATCAATGGAATCTAATGTGTGAATTCTTCTATGATGTGCTTCTTTTGCTAACATTTTGGCATCTATCCAAGATGATAAGTTTTATAGTAGCTCATTTTCCCTGCTGTGTTACATTATATGAAAATATCACCACTTCTTTGTTCTATTGTGATCAATATGGTAGGCAGAATAATGGCCCCCTAAATATGTTCATGTCCTAATTCCTGAAACCTGTGAATATGTTATTTTACATGGCAAAAGGGATTTTGCAGATGTGATTTAGTCAAGGATCTTGCAATGGTAAGATTATACCAGATTATTCTCGTGGACTCAATACAAAGCTCCTTATAAAAAGGAGACAGGAATGTCAGAGTCAGAGAAAGACTGGAAGATGCTACATTACTGGCTTTGAAGATAGAGGAAGAGGCTACTAGCCAAGGAACACAACAGCCTCTAGAAGCTTGGAAAAGGCAAGGATCGATTCTCCCCTAGAGCCTCCAGAAGGAAGCAGTCTATTGATACCTTGATTTTAACCCTGTAAGGCCCATTTTCAGACTTCTTGTCTATAGAACTATAAGATAATAAATTTGTGTTGTTTTAAGCCACTAAGTTTGTGGTAATTTGTTACAGCAGCAACAGGAAACTAATACAATCCATATTTAGGTTGTTTCCTATACAAAGAACAATGCTATACAAACATTTTTGGACGTTATCTCCCAATATATACATGTAAGAGTTTCTCCAGATAATATGCTTAGGAGTGGAATTACTGTAAGTACTTGTCCAGTTTTACAAGGGAATGGCAGGCTTATTTCCAAAACAGTGGTGCCAATTTACAATCCTACCAATAGTGGATAGAAGTTACTGTTAAGTCATATCCTCACCAATATTTGATATTAATCTGTAATTTAATTTTTGCCAATCTAATAAGCATGAAAGGGTATCTGATTTTTTTTAATGCAATAATGCGGTACAAGGTTATGTTTTATAAGGCATTTGTATTTCTTCCTGTGTGAAATGTCTGTTCATGTCTTTTGTTCATGTTTCTATTAGGTTCTTTTTCATACTGACATGCAGGAATCAATACTGCTCTTTCCCTATTCTATTACATTCTTCTGGAACTCCAATCAGACATATTATACCTTCTTATTCTATTCTCCATATCTCTTAAGCTCTCTTTAATATTTACTATCCCATTATCTCTCTGGGCTTCATTCTGAATAATTAACTTGCATTTATTTTCCATTCATTTATTCATTCATTCAACATATTTATTGAAGGCCTAACATAAGCCTTGCACTGGTCTAAATGCTGGGAAAATAGAATTAGAAGAAAGAAAAGCAACACAGACAAAAATCTCTGCCCTCCAAGAGCTTACATTCTTATAAGAGGAGAGAAAAAAAAAAATGAATAAGCAAAGTATAGAGTCTGTCAGGTAGTAATAAAGTGATACGGAGACATGGAGACAGCTATTGCAAAATTGGGTCTGCTACTATTAAAAAAGGATAGTTATAGAAGGTCTCACTGAAATTTTGGCAAAACTTCGAGGGAAAGGAACAAGCCATACTTTTTTGCAAGGAAGGGTGAAGCGGAGTGGGGGCCAGTGAGTGATGAGTTGTGAAAAAATGCTGCTGATAGGTAAAGCTAAAGTTTAAAAACTAACTATTGGCTTTAGCAACAAGGAAGACATTAATGACCTTGACAAGACCAGTTTTGGAGGAGTGGTAGGGGCAAAAGTCTGACAAATGGGCTGAAGCAAGGGCCAGAGTAGGAGGACTAAAGATAACTCTTTTGAGAAGTTTTTCTATAGAGGGGAACAGAAAAATGGAGCCGAGCCGGAGGAGGGGTGGGTCAAGAGAGAACTTTAAAATAGCAGAATTAACAGTATGTTTTATGATGACAGTAACAGTCTATTAGAGAAGGAAAAATTAATGATCCAGGAGACAAAGGGAAGATTTGCTCAACCATGTCCTTAAAACAGAAAGAAGGCATGGGACCTAATATACAAGTGGAGGGACTGGCCTTTGATAAGAGTACAAACAGTTCATCTATGTTAATTGACAGGGAGTCAAAACATGTGGGTACCAAGACCAGCAGGTGGATAGATGTGGATTGCTCTGATTACTTCAGTTTTGTTAGTGAAGTATGAAGCTAAGAGCGAGGATGGAAAAAGAGGTGTTGGAGGATTAAGTAGAAAGAAAAAGACATAAAATGGTTGTCTAATTCAATAATCATTTCTTCTGCTGAGTATAATCAGCTATCTAATCTACCCATTGAGTTTTTAATTTTCTTTCTAGAACTTCTATTTCATTATGTTTTAATCTTTTTGGTCATTCTTTAAGCAAGTTTCTGTCTCTTTTATAATTTAAACACATTAAACATAGTGATTTTAAATTATTGTATGATATTTTCAGACTCTAAAGTCATTACAGGTCTACTTCTGTAGTCTATATTTCTAATACCTCATTCATGATGCCTTGTATGTTTTGTGATTTTTTGACTGTTAGTGGGTTATTCTTCTTGGCACTTTATCTTCAAGAATTCTTTAGGGCTGGGTTGAAAACAAATTCCTCCAGAGGGGATGGATATTTGCTTTTACCAGTAAACTGGGGCATACCAACCTGGAACTGCTATAAATTCAGTTTTCCACCTGCAGCTTTTCCCAGCACAGATGGCATGAATATAGCCTGCAAACCTATACAAGAGCTGTTCATGGTTACAAATTCTCAAGGGAGCTTTCTCCCCTCTCCCTTAGCAAGTTTCTTTGCTTTCCCCTTACTCGTAGTGGGATTCATTTCTCATTTACCCTGATATTGAGGATGTAGCTCTTCGGAGTCCAAGCTTTATGGTGGGACCTCCTTTTAGTTTCCTCTCTTTGGGCAGACACACGCTTCATTTCTTGTCCATTCCACCCCACGCAGCTGTTAAAGCAGAAGCTCAAGGTCTTCCAGTTTGGGAAAAATCCTCGCTAAGAGACTGAACCACACTGTTTGAGTCCCAAGGTCCTGGCTTTCCATTTTTTTCGGGGGGTGGGGGGCGCTCTGTGTATTCCTTGATTTCATGCCACCTCGGAAATGCATTTAGAAAGATTTTAAAATATATCCTACTGAAATTACTTCTTTACAGGAAGATTAACTTGTTATATCGCTTGTATGCACTGTCTTTAGTTCATAGTGCTTTGCCATATTACAATGCACATTTGCATTTCATTTATAAGAAAACTGGGTATGAGATATATAAATGCCTATCATTTTATGTGCTCAAAAATAATTTTATGCTTTTATTGCAAGGAGATGTATTCAAAATATTCATCTCCTTAAATAATTTCTTGTGAATAGAGGTATTTTTCAAAACTCTAATTCTTCCCTCAATGCTTTACTGTTTTTCTTCCAATTTAGTATATGGAAGAGAAGTGGAAGAACTGGCTAAGTTCCACTTTTTTATTTTCCTGGGTCTCCCTCTGCTTTATTTCTATACAAAGAAGAAAGCACACTGAGATGTCCCCTAGAGACCAGAAAGGAGCCCACTAGGCTCTGTTTAATCTTGTTCACTTACTTAAATGTGCGATATTAGTCATCTAAGCGCTTTGAACTTCAATTATCTCAATAGCCCCACTTCTGAAAGATGTATCAAATAGAATGAGATAATGTATATTTAAACATGTTACAGATTAAAGTACTATCTAAAATAAAATCAAACACTATATTAGAAAGTACCACTGGAAATGTATTCACTTTTGAGGATTGTTTGGCTCAATGCTACTTTGACTATGCACAAATCTTTAACTGTTGAACTACATATATTCATTTGAACACAATGAAATTAAAACTACATATATTTATTTGGATATAATAAAATTTAAAGTACGTATGCAATTATAAAACTTTAATACACATAATTAGTGGTAGGTGAAGAAATCTAAAATGAAGCTTCTAGATTGGTGACAAAGTACACAATTAGTGTCTGCTATATAAAAAGAAAAAGAGAAAAATTTCCTTTTAGAAAAATATCTAAATTAATTTCCACTCAAAAATACCCAACAAGTAACTAGAAAATAATTCTGCCAAAAACAATATGGGAAATTTATTATTCATAAGTCTGGTAGATAGACCCAGACTTCCACTATTTCAGTGTTTTCCAAGTGGGGTTAAAAGATAGTTCAAAGAATAAATACATTACAGCTACTTGCAAGGCTTGTTTAAAACGCTGATTCCTGGATCACATCCAGATCCACTAAATCAGAACATCTGGCAGTAGGGCCAGAGAATCTGCATTTTTAACACGCTCCCCAATACCAAAACCAAAAGTTTGCCCCTCTTATTTTTATCATTCATTTTTAAAATATTCAAACATGGACACAAATAAAATATTCAGACATTCTGGGATTCAGGACACCATAACGCCATGAAAAAGTGTCTGAATAAAGTCAGAAAAACATGTTTACACGCTTACACTCAGCTACCTTCCATTTTTCTTAGCAATCAGCATTTAATTGCTTCAAATGACATCTCCCCTCATTATCAGGCCACCTGAGACACCTTTTTTTTCTCCCAGCTCTTAGCAGTTTTGCCACTTTGCAGCAGGTGCAGACAAGGCACGGCAGCCCCTGGCAGCAGTCTATTCAAATTCTACTATATAAACAAGAAGTAAACACCTTTCTGAAGGCAAAAGGCTCTGGACCACTTAACCCTCCCATTTCCAGCATATTGAGAACACTTCTGAATCATATGCTTCACAAAGACAACCCTCAAACCCTAATTTACTCTCCAGCCATGACCTCACTACTGAGAGAGCCACAAAGCCAGACACAGACCCCCATGCTCCTACTTGGGCTCACGTGGTGATGCGACTTTGCAGACAGGGGTAAAAGCTGGGTAAACATACAGCAGTCCTGAGCAAGGGAAGATGCTTGAGCAAGGGTAAAAGCCGAGGGACTCTCAAGGCCAGAAGTTCAAGGAAGTTAAGTCTTGTCCTCCTCCCAATCAGTCCGCTTTTGAGGGGCCCCAGGGTCTGTCACCTCTCCTCCGTACCCCACCCCCAACCCCGCCACAACCCTTGAAGGGGCGGGCTTCACCGTTTCTCTGCGTGCTCTCTTCGCAAAGCAGCCGCGGATGCTTTCATTCCCGTCCCATCTCCCGCCACACTCCCAGCCGCTTAAATAATAAGAAAAATACAAACGAAAACACCTCGGGGACCGTCACTATCTTCCTCTTTTTACTGCCATTACCCAATGAGTGTTGCCACCCCCGCACACCGCAAGCGGTTCGCAGACGTTTCCTGGACTTGACTGTCAGGTTTTCAGCCCCCAGTCCTTTCCGCTCGCCACCACCCACCTCAGGGGCCGGCCCCGGCCCTCCCCGCGCCACAGCCGCGGCCCGTTCGGCGGGGGTCCCCGCCCGTCATCACTCGCGCTTACCTGGGCCTCGACGACGCTCGGGAGGAAGCTCAGGGTAACCAGCAGCTGCACTGCGGCCGCCGCCCCCTGCCCTGCGGCGGCCCGCCGGACCCCCCGGCTCATGCTGACCTCTCCCCACACTGCGGCCGGCCGCTCCCCTGGGGGCCGGAGAACGGCGGGCGGCCCGGGAGACGACCCAACGGGACGGCTCCCGGCGGCTGCGAGACTCCAGGGTCAGAGGTCTGCACGACCCTCGGGACGCCGCGTACGCTCTCCCCGGCCCCCGGCAGCGGCAAACGAGGCAGGAGCGCCGAGCGCCCCCACTTCATCCCCCCAGGCGGCCCCGCCCCCAGCTTCCCCTTAGTCCCGGCCACGCCCCCTCCGAGCGCGGGGCTTGTGGGAGTTGTGGTCCCGCGCGGCTAAGAGGGCGCCTCCGGCCGGAAGGCGGGGCCCGCGGTCGAGCGAACCCGGGAACTACAACTGCAGAGACCGCTCCGCCTCCCCTCGGGCTCCACGGCGGCCAATGAGGCGGGACCACGCGGGCCTCCAAAACAAGAGGAGGGCGGGGGGGTGGAGCGGTGCGCCCTCCCCTCCCGCCGGCCGCGTTCGCTGCGCCCTGTCCCTAGGCAGTTGCTCCTGGAAACGAGGCTGGGGTGGGGGGCCCTCCCTGTGTCATTGTTCCCTGACACCACACAGCCGCGAGGCTCCAGGATTCGCTCAGCACCTACGGAAATTAGAAACGAACATGCGGGGTCTCCGACTTTCAGTCTGAAGCATATTATCTCATCGACTTTTCTGTAGCCTCACATCTATTGCGGGTGCCTAGATAAGCCACCTGCGACTCTTTTCTTTTATACGCCGCAGACGTGGTTGTCATCCTCTGCCTCTTTCCATTCCCACTCCTATATTGACACATACAAACATAATGCACGCTAAAGAATGGGAACAAACGCAAAAGTTTATAATAAAATATGGGAATGGGGATAAACACACAGAAAAACTTGGAGTGATAGTGACTGGGTTCAGCCCCACTTGTAAAACACTCTAGTTTATGTGGCCTTGGACACTTAACCTCTGTGGACCTCAGTTTGTCCATCTATAAAGTAAACACAGTAATACCCCCTTCAAACATTGTTGTGACTACATATATACAAGTTTATATACATAAAGGGCCTAGTATGGTGCCTCACACAAAGAAGTGTTCCATAAATAATAGCTGCTATTAGTTTTATTCATATCCTTGATTTCTAGAAAACTAGTAATACATCACCTTACATTTATGTAATGTGTATCAGTTTCCCATCGCTTCTAAAACAAGTTACCACAAATTTCTTTGCTTAACACAAAACAAATTTATTATCTGTAGTTCTGGAGGTCAGAAATCCAAGTTGGATCAGCGGGGCTGCATTCCTTCTAGAGGCTTTAGGAGGCGATATGCTTCCTTGCCTTTTCCAGGTTCTATAGGCCATAAACTTAATCACATCTGCAAAGTCCTTTTTGCCATATAAGGTAACATACAGGTTCTGGGGATTAGGGTATGCACATCTCTTTGGGGGTGGGGGGCAAAGGGGCATTAATGAGTCTGTACATAGTGCTTTATACCTTTTGGAGCATGTTCATATTTTGTGGAGTTTAGTGCAAAATGAAAATGCAAGGTCCTGGTTCAAAAAATATTAAGAATTTCAAGACAGTGACAATAGAGCATCAAACCAAGTGGAGAGCTTCTCTAAGCACAGAGCCCTGTGTGACTGCCCAGAAGCCAGCCCTGTCAGTCTTTTTCCTCTTCAGCAGCTCTTTCTCTTCTGCCTCCAAACACGTGCAGCTCTTCCCTAGCTTGAAAATAAACAGAATTTTTGCTTGATTCTTCCAACTACTTTCCCATCTCTCCTCTTCTTGGCCAAACCTCTCTTTTCTATCCTCCCATTCCCTTCTTTCCCTCATATAAATGTGCCCTGTCCTCATCATTCTACTAAAGCTTTTCCCTTATCAAATCCAGTGGACTTTTCTCAAGATTCCTTGTCTCAGCACTGCATTAGATGTTATTGGTAACTCATACTTCCCGGGATTACGTTATAAAAAAAATCCTGGTAATTTTTGATTGTTGTTTAAAAAAGAGTGGATTATAAATTTTCTTATTATAAAATCTCAGGTCCTTGAATGCACCTTTAATCTCAGGTCCTCTAGTGTTTGTGATATCGTGCAGAATCCATGGCCTGTAGTTAGAGCCCTTCTAGATTTGTCATTGAAGAACAATTTGAGTGCTCACTTGATGGAAAGAGGAAAGCGGGCACAGAACTCCAATGCAATCAGATGGCTTTTGTCCTCTTGGTTATCTAATCCAGAAAGTAACAGCAACAATACCCCCTATTTGTTTTTAGCTCAGAAGCCCAACATGCAACTTCTGGGGATGAGTGGGGTTTTTTCTTCGTGAATGAAATTGGAATTTGCAGGTGTTTGTGATGAGATACGGTGTACCCAAATTTATTCAGAGTGATGTCGGTTGGGATCTGTTTTACTGTTCATTGTTATGAGTGTTAAGAAAGGATTGTTCCTTTGTGAACAGACTGCTCTTCTCTTTGTTCTCTCACTCTGGCCTCTTTATTCACTTTTACCTTCCGTAAAATCAACTATGCTGAAACCAGCACTGTGAGATGTATGGATGGTGTCACCCCTGCTTCCTGCAGAGTTCCACAGTGACGTGCCATTTGAATCTTTCCATCCCTAACACTATGGTTGGAAGTTGTAGCAGAGAAAGGAAAGTGCACACACTAATCCCCTTTGGTTGCAAGCCACAAAAATGGGCTCTAGGTAAATTTTTTTTTTAATAGCAAATGAAAAAAATGTGGATTAGTTGACAGTACCAGGAAGGCTTCACCACTCATGCCTCTGGAAAGATAAGTCCATCAGGACAGCATTGAAGGACTGCAAGGAGAGTCTTTTCCAGGGCACTGCCATTGGACTGATCAATTCCAATCACTTTTAGTTCTTTGTCCCTCCTATCAAAATTCAAATTCCTTGTAAAGTTTAGCTTGCAGGGAGGGAGCAAGCTTCTTGATTGACAACCCCACAAGGCTACACAGAATGAGCAAGAGATAATTACCCAGTGAGTGTATGAATAGTGAGTGCTACTACTTTCAATTATTAATAGAAGGGGAAATGATGCTAAACAGACAAAAGCAACAGATGTCCCCGTCAGGAAGTCATGTTTTTATTTGGATCCTCCATTTGCACTTACTTTTTTTTTTCTTCAGCTGGTATTTACACATTCATTAAATCATCACAGATGTCCTGAGTGTGGAACACCAAAAAGCACACATCAGGACACTGGCAGCCCAGAAATAGCAACAATATGCCTATTGTAGCTAATGTAATTTATGATTTACTAACACCACCTGGATTAGATGAACCTAATTATCTGGAACTATGGTGTAGAAAAATTGACCACATTTTTCGAATGGAAGAACTTATGAGCCTCCCAGATCTATTGATCAGAGAAGGGTCAGGGCCAGCTATGAAGTCAATCAGAACAACTCCCTCATTGCAAACAATGATAATTTATCATTGATTTGGTTGGGACAGGTTATGGGAGGGGATTAACCTCAAGGAACAATCTTTGTATAGAGGTAATTACGCTAGGGCCAGCCATGACTATATTTCCCATGTTTCTTAGTGGAGCCAAACAGAACTAGCCTTGGATGACCTCAGTGTGCTTCACCTTTTCAAATGAAGAGTGTCAAAATATGCCTAAATCAAGATTAATCTTATTCATATTTGAAATGTAGTTACACTGTTACCACGCACAAAAGCAGATTTATATTTATTGCAGATTCACTCCGTTTTGCTCTCAAATACAAATGATTCTCCCGTCCCTCTTATGTCTTTGTTTCCCTTCCCCTCCTTTGCACTCCATATCTCCCTCCTCTCTGAGAAGATGGCCTAACTATCTCATCCCCATAGGCCAGAGTGAGTCATCCAGAGTCCTAGTGCAGCTCCTACTCGAGACATTCATTTAGCACTAACAATCTGCTGCTCTGTCTTAGGAGTTAGCTTTTCTTGTGTATATGTGTATTATAGACATCTAGAGTGTAAAGTTTTAGAGGACTCTATCTTCTTATACTATATTCTCTTTAATGGCTATCTCAGTTCCTGTGAACAGCAGTCTATAAGTATTTGTTGATTGACTGGTTAATACTATTTGGGATCTCAATTTATCTTAGAAGACGTCTATCTCAGAAGCAGTCCTGGATGTGGTGCCCCTGAAAGTTTCCTGTGGACAGCTGGGAAGTGGCTTCATTGGACAGGAACATTGCTGGAGAAGACAATAAGATGAAACTGGCAGCCTTTCATTAAGACAAAAGATTACAGTTCCTTAAACAGAGGTGTATTTGGGGGACTACCAGAAAGACTGAGGGAGTAACAGACTTGTCAGAGGACTGGTTGAGACCAATCACTGGAAATCCATTACTTTTTTTCTGAAGCACTGTTTGATATGTCTATAGATAATGGTTGTTGAAGTGAAGGCTTGAGAATTGTCTCGAATGGATTACTGTAATGCTTAAGAGACTTTGTGAATCCACAAAATTGCACTAAGTATTTACGTTTTCAAGATATGATCAAATGTATTGTGTTTCTTTGATGATTTTTTGGCTTGGTTAACTTGTGACTTCTAATGAAGGAGGAAATCATTGATGAATGGTTCTAAATAAATGTTAAGGTAATGGGGTGGAAATTTAATAACACCAGTAATTTTCATCCCTCATAGCAAGCTGAATTGTGATTAATGAACCTGCTGAGTAATGGCTATCTGTTGTGTTTAAACAACTGTATTTATAGATAGTACTGATGTGTTAACTGGTCATGGCAATTTTTTTAAAAGAGGATTTCCACCTCTAACTTAGTTATAAGGGGAATTTTTGCTTGATGATAGGATTTCTGAATTTTAGTAAGGGACTTTCTTCCCCTTTTCTTTTGAGAAATAATAGAGATTAAAAGTAATCAAAAGGAAAGAACTTGGCTGGCCTGTGGCTTGTTATTAGTTCCCTACCTAAAGCATTCATTGTTTTTCTTTAATATTTACTCAGCTGTGACACTCTCAAGTATTTTCACTTAACAGCATGAAAGCTGATAAACTTGAGTAAGTTAGAATTATTTCCATTTCTAAAGGAGTTTACCTGGTGATATGTGCAGTTTGGATAATGCCTTCTGTTATATAACAAACGTATTATGGTATTATAATAGAAGTTAATATATAATGTGATCAGGGAAAATCTATTAAATGTAAATAGTTGGGAAAACTAGCATCATAATTCTGCCAATTTCATTCTCCCGCCTAATTTCTACAATGCAAGAGACTTCAGATAATCCACAAAGTTGTATGTAA